GTGCCTGAGGAATGAAACCCAGGGTTGTCCTATGACTTCCACACATATGCGTACATTTGTGTGTATACCCTTACATATGTGCACACACACATGCACACAAATATTGTGTGCTAATATCAGGATATTTTATTCATAGTTGGCTAAACTATTAAATTATTTGCTTTTGTGTTCATTAAAATGCATCCTTTGGAAATTCGGAATTTTATATGGACCTTGAATTTAATTCTGTCTGGGAGTATAAAGAGAAAGTGTTGTACTCAATTTTCCTCTACTTTAGAGTTAATAATTCCAAGTTTGATCTGTGTCTCCAAAAGAAGTTGAGTTCTGGTTTCTAATTTGATTTTTTTAAAAATCTTCCTTCATTCCTGTTAAAATGCTTTTTGTAAATACTTAGTCACAAAGTTAGAAATTCTCGTGGCTTTTCTGTGGGTTCGGAATCTCTGTGAACACTCACGAGATGGCCTGCAGTTTCCCCAAGCCGGGCTGGAAAGGAAGTGTCTTTGATTTTACTGTTTTCAGTTTTATTTTATTTGTGTGTATGTGTGTTCATGTGTGTGCAAGTGCACACCTACATGCAGGTGTGTGTGTGTGTGTGTGTGTGTGTGTGTGTGTGTGTATGCGCGTATACATGTACAGGGTAGAGGTCAACCTCAGGTGTTAATTCCTCAGGTGCCATCTGTTATAACTGGTAGGCCTATTCACTTTCTTATACTTCTCCCTCCTAATAAAACTCTTATAGTGGGTTCCGTTGTACCTCATGTTTTCTCTAGCCCGGTAAATAGCACCACAAATAACACCATCCACCTTGTTTTTTGAGACAAGGTCTCCCTTTTTTAAATTGTAAAAACTTTCATTTATTTTTTGAGATTATAATATAGTTACATCAGTACCTCCCCCACATTTCCCTCCCTCCAAACCCTCTCACAGCTCACCTATTATGCTAAGATGGCTGGCCAGTGAGCCTGGGGGATTTACCTAGCACCACCTCCCTGGTGCTGGGATTATAGACATGGGCTAGCACATTTGGCTTTTTTAAGGAGGGTTCTGGAAATCAGGTCCTTAGATTTGTGTGGCAAGCACTAGTCCAACTGAGCTGTCTTACCAGCTCTGGGTTCACTGTTTTTAAAGATCCCCAAATAGATGCATTACAAACTGTGTCTGTTACCCACAATG